TACTCTGAATGCCAAGCGTAAAGTTATGGAAATGACAAAGTATATTTGTGTTCCCATCCGTTATAGAAGGTTGAAATATTATAGAGAATTAAGGAAAGCGAAAATATGGAAATTTCCTATTTCATAACGAACTCAGGTAGAATGTATGACTATTATAAAGTTATAGGAGTTCAATAATCGTAAATTTTTCAATTGTAGTGTAATGATTTTTTAATATTGTGGAATAATATACATTCATTATGTTTAAAAAATAAGGTCCCACGATTGTACTCAAAGTTTATACAAGAGGAACACAAAAATGGTCACTACTTGTGTAAATGAATCTCATTTCTAAAAGATGGATGTCTTACGTAAAATTGTGCGTCTCCCATTTTTGGAAGAGACACTCAAAGTGTAAAAGTAAGCTTCCTTATTACTGAGTTTCACAAAATAACAAACGTTCATTTTACCATGCTAAAACTACAGTAATAATAAAGAGTACTTCAAGAATATACTATTTTATGTATCTTGTGTGATCGTTAAGTTAAACCTAATTTGTAAGAATGAAATAAAATACATTCTATAATGTATTAAGTTGAAAGAACTTTTAATTGTTTCTTCGAATTTTTTAATTACAAAAAAGTGGAAGATAAATTACCCTACAAGAGGAAGTTGGAACGATTATGAATTTTATACATCACATTTTACATTAAAATCGATACATCAGTACATATTACTTTATTTCGGAGAGTTCATAGAATTATTTTTATAAGAAACCGTTTGTATAGCAATTATATGATGTAGGTATCAAAAAAAGTTCGTGCGATTTTCTGGTTAGAAATGAATCGAGGTCCAATTTCAATTACCATATCACTATTGAGTTTCATTGTTTAAATTTTGATTTAAGAACCCGCATGAACTTTTTCCAATACATAATGGTGTACATACTTTTCAAAATTGAACATCTGATTTTATCTTTCAAAATTAAATGTCTCAGAAACATTGCTTGATGAAGAAAAATAACTTTAACAATTATATTCGTTTATGAAAATCTCTAGAAACTATTTATTAGTTACTAAAAAATAAAATAATTAATATATATTAATCGTTCAAAATTCTGTCAGTAATTTTTTGTATCATTTTATTTTTAAAAAGGACAAATTTATCGAACATTTTGATCCAAGTTTAATACAAACAAATACAATCGCGTCAAAGGCAAACACGTTTAACATCAACATAGTCATTACTAATTACAATGTACAACAGTAATTAAATAGATAATTTTTCCTCCTCTTACTTTCGCGTAGTTATGCAAATAACTCTAGGAATGATAAAGCTAACATGCTTAATCAAATGCATTTCAAAGAAAATATGGCCGTCTCCCACAGAATTGTCCTACTAAAAATCGGCTCAAGGCAAAAGAGGATCATTTTTAACATGGCTTTAAAATTATTCAAGCATATTACGTATTCGATGTGACTGAAACATCTGTCGAAGAAATAGAATATATTCTACGGAAAACGAGTTTCTCCAAGGTTAATCACATAAGTGATACCATCTTCATGACTACCGCGAATTGATTCAATCTCATAGGAATTCGATTACATTAATAGCACACCTTTAATCACAGTGCACTAGATGTATTACATGATAAAACACACACAATTGGTAATCTACGAAGAAGAAGATTAAATTGAACTTTAAATTTGATCATTACGAGATTATTAATACTATAAATAAATTCAGCAGTATCAGTTTGTATCAGGGTTTTCGTGTCGTATGAAACACGTCACTTTTTGTTTGTATTGCCATAAAAGGAAAACATTAAATCATTCCAATACTATTTTCAATGAAACTTTGTTGTTACTGCGTTTCAAAATTACTAAACGGAAATTTTTACTGCTTTGTCGCAGTATTCTTTTTTCCTCCTATTATTCACGACTGCATATGTTAAATTAAGTTAATATGAATATTTCAATTGAATTGTTAAACGCCAAGAGCACTATATATAACTATATATTAGTATGTAAAATGGAAATGTTAGTTAACTTGATGATAGCTTTTAATAAATGTACAATGCCGATTGTATACAGTAGGAGATGAATTAACCGAATTGCTGTTTTCCGCAATCGAGACAATTCAGAGGTTGGTCAAATTGGAACTCAATAATTCAGATTCCCAGATAGTAATTTGAAATATATATGATCCAATTTTTACAAATATCTATATTTGGAAGAGTTTCTTCCTAAGACTGTATATCCCTTAATTGTCAGTTGCCAAATTAACATACACGGAAAGCTTATGTTACTAGGAACCGTATGACATCAACTTCATGTTCATCAGAATATGGAAACAAGGCTAATACACCTGACCTTCGATTTACGCGGACATTTTACATGGGAGCCTCTTTTTTACGCGATAAATTGGAACATTATTTACGCGGTAGTTTTTACGCGATCTGAATTTAGTAATAGCGAATAAAATATACTTTGTTTTCCTAAAATTTTGTTATTATTATTTTTTTGTTAAGCTATGTGAAATAAATATGTATTTCTGAAACTTATACCAGCTTTCCTCTTCAATATTTTGTTTTCTATTGTACCGACAGGCTCTATTTACGCGATTTTCGTTCGCATAAAACAAACCCACGAGAAACAGATTTTCGCATAAATCAAAGGTCAGGTGTACTTGGTTTAACGCAAGTATGTATATAGTCTACGGAAATCCTTATATGGCATTTAAAGCGTGAAAAGACTTAGACGTTAAGGGAACTTTCCCTTAACGTCTCAAGTCTCCACCCTTTCGAAACATTTTCCAGGCCATTCTTCCTACATTTTTCTTCAGATATCCGTTTGATCTGAATGTGACGTCGGCATAGTCGACCTATTGTCAATTATATTTGTTACCGTTATATTTTTTACTCTATGGAGATATATTATTTTCAATGGTAGAAGTACTATTTACGATCATAATTTAACCGATTACCAACAAGCTAAAAGTACAAACGGTATCAGCCGCGTACCGTCCCCCGATCCTTCCAAAAAACATAGCAGTCAGACGAAGCGAAATCGACGCCAATGTTGATTAAATCTTACTGTCTCACGTTTTGCTTCGGCTGCGTTCTTAGTTACGTAGTTTGACCAATAACAACAATATGTGAAAACCGTGGTGTCACTGTTGTTATAGCTACTCAACCGAGTATCATGAGTGGAAGTTTCCTCACGTCGGCCTGGACAGAAGACCTAAAGCTATAAGACAGGGTTAGACCCCTGTCGACAGGTGCCACCAGTAAACCGTTACGACTGGTACTACGGGATCGGTACCCGGCTGCATTGGTCGCTGTGGTCATTGGGTTAGACTCGTAGTGACAATGTTTGAAAGCCTTCATGCCAGCCAAAGGACCCCGTTTTTCAGGGTCCTGGCGGGTAATCTGATTTAAAAACAGCTGCTGGCCGTCAAAGCGGATAGAGTGTTGAAAAATGCATCCGGTGCCACTAGCAGTGTAACCATATAGGGCCTGTGATCTCCGGGACTACGCTGGGACCCGTCGTCTTTTACATGGGGCTGGCTGATTAGGTCCCATCTCAATTTCACGCCTATGGGTGCCACGTTATGAAGGCTTTATGCTATGTGCAATGCAGCTTTAACATATAAAGCCGCGAACGACAAGCTAAGAGTGCACACGAGCAAAGGGAGCCATCCACTGCAACCGATTTCCCTTGCTCCTGTGCAATTATAGCTTGTTGGTCATGGCTCTAAACATGAGAGATCCACTGTACTTTGCGGAGAACGAAAGAAGTCTAGTATGCTTGAATGGTCAGAATCGAAGGGGCCCTGTCCGTTTGTTCACGCATTTTCGGCTGCAACGTGCGATTGCTCGATGGGATCACAAACACTAAGTCCATCGCGTCACGCGACGCACACTATAAAAGGCCACTCTTCCCCCTGACCCCCCCACAAGACTTTTTTCCTACGGTGCAGAGTACACCACGTTAAATCACCATTGTTTGTATCCTTGATCCCAGCCTCTACACATGTTTAGTGTATAGATACATAAAGATACATAAAAAGACAACCTGAGAAGCATTACAAGTACCTACAGTAATGTAGAGCAACTGGTAAAATACTGTGGCTACAACTATATATTCGATTGAACATCGCGAATAGTCGCTTCTTCTTGACACCGTGCCCATGTAACATTAGGCGTTCCATAAAAGGCTCACTGCAGCATGAACAGGTGAAAGAAAGTGGTACAAACTGTACACGAAAGTGCTTTATTATACACTAAAATTGTCAGTGTGTTTTTGTTTATATTATACAACAAAATACAATTTAAATTTGAACAATTAAGAGGCTAAAACATTTGTATGATATTATTATTTACATCTAAGTACAACAGTAGCCAATCTGGTAACTAAACTGCAACTAAGCAGCCTAGATCGCAAATATTCTTTATCATTTCATTTTCCAAAAGTACATGACGTTCCTTTTATTAAGACTAAAATTCGTAATAACCAGTTACTCTTAAGCAGCTCCTGGCGCACTAGGATCCATAATGGGACCAGTAATTGTCTCGAAGGCGCATTCGTTATCTTCGCGGCGCTTACAAGTTGGAATCGGTGGTACTTCGCATACGCATTTGATACAATAGGAATCGAAGCTAGTATTCTCGCTCAGTTCGTCTCCAATGTGCATCGTCAGATTACCAAATCGGCACATTTTACTCTCGTCTGTAAGTTTAAATTAATAATAAAACGGAATGGAAGAAATTATTGTTCATACTGCACAACTGTCTGACCGAAATATCTTCTCGCACTCTATTTCTATTAGTAATTGAATTTGTAAAATGAAATGGGAAATACATAGTTCAATGAAGGTGGACTTCTTGAATTTAAATCTGTTTCTAAAATTTCTTAAGAAATGGAATAAAACATTCAGGGTAATCGAATAATTAACACGGATTCATTAATTTAATTTGTACTCTTTCATCGGTATAGGTAAAGTATGTCAAAGAATTTGAATTTGTATAAAATTACTTATTGAAACAGAATAAAATTGAATGAGTTTCTTAGTAATTACAAGGTTTAAGTTTCGACTTAGGTAAAGTACAATGCATTCCAAAAAGAAAATGAAATTTAAAATGAATTAATTATCTTTATTAGAAATGTTAGATCTCAAGTGAAAATTTTCGATTAGTTGTATTTTGTTAATTATCATGACAGTTTATGAAAATAAACGTACCTGTTTCCACGTCATTTTCGGTGTCGTGATTATGAATAACAGTGTCCTTTTCATTTACTACAAGATTGAGAAAATTTATTTTGCAAAAGTTCACAAGTGCTATCTTACATAATTTCAGTAATACAATTAATAAAAAAAACTTACGACATCTAGTTCCAACATTGCAATCAGTTTGCGGATTTTGACCGAAGTAAAAGACGGGCACACATTTTTCATGTATGTCAGAGGGTCTATCGAATAAAGGATTGCAGGAACTGCGATTTGATTTCTTACAGAAGGGTGCAACGTTTTCACCTAATCATGAAATTTCCCATAAAATCTCCATATTAGAAATAATAATAAATTTGGTTAAATATTGTTTCTTTCCGATATAAAATCTTCAGGATTCAAGTATGCATAGATACATGAAATAAAAAATTCAGTAAATAATTCAACAACTTTGTATCCCTCATAAATGATAGTCCCTCCATAGACGTCTTTGCTAAATGCTAGTTTTCTTCCTCAATTGCAATTATTCGATTGTTTAAAGGTTTAAACTAATTTATTTCTTGCAAATAAACTGATTAGATTATATTTCAGAATTATTTCGATAAACAAAATTTAATAGAATCAAGAAGATTTGAGCCGTCTTGATTGAGCAGCACTGAGGTTGAAATTGAAACTGATTATAAAACCGAAAATATAAAATTGAACTTAACAATCGAATATGATATGTAGTTTTTGATTATCCATCTGATAATATACATGTATCGAAATGTTTTACATATTCATAGCTTTCAGTGATACTTTAATTGACGTTTCTGATACTCTTTTTCATTTTAAATTATAAATATTGTACCTTTGTAATCTGGCATGCAGTAACAATCCAATTCTGGATTAGATTTTGGTTGAAAAGGTTCCCCTTCTTGATAAGTTCTGCCATCAACCTCACAAGTTGCCCTCTTTTCACCTTCCTTCACTACAGTTCACAATCAATTTTATTTGTTACTTCACATGAAAATTCTACTCGTGTTGATATCACCATAAATTGACAAGCAAAATAGTATTTAAGCGTCTGTGAACGTTCTTGAGTTAGGTAACTATTATTATAGTAATAGTACAATTGTCACTATATTTTATATTATTGTTTACTACAGAATACATTACGTCATTATCAGTCGATTGTGTTGATAAACATCCTAACGATTAATTCATAAACATCAAATGTATTTAATGTTCAATTATAACTAAATAACAAATCCAAATAATGGGATGATCTTTTCCATTGTGTTCATTACTTTAATTTTACATTTCATTAATAAGGGGCAAGAATAGTGGCTTAATTAAAAAAAATGATAATTATGCTTTTGAAGCTATAATTATGTTTTTGAAGATCTGACAACGAATAAAATTTTGTTTTATCAATGTAGTATCTTAACACGTTCGCTACCAGCGATGAATTTCATATTTCGTGCAAAGGAGAGTAAATTACATTTACGTGCATTTTTATGTACTATTGTAAACCATGGTATGGCTCTGGAGGATATTGTTTCTTGATTATTATTTGTATTTTGTGAAGACAATATGTTTTATTTTATCAAATATTATACGCGAGGAGATTGTTTTTGTAATAAGTGCTGGTAGCATATGGATTAATCTTCATAATGTTCTTGAATAAAACTTACTGCGCTAAGGTTACTTACAACAAACTCGCGTTATTGAACAGCAGCTGTCATGATCATTTTTGTAAAAACAATTTCCATTGGGACCCAACGACGGACAATATATGTATCCACACGAAAATCTGGCCGTTCTATTCAGAATTTAAAATCATGTATTATTAATTAAGTTTTGCAAGAAGTATAAAAATGCGATTCATATTTTTCAATAAAGTCTTTTTACTTTCCGTATTATATTATAGAATAGTATTTGCTGAATGACATATAATTTAGAATGGAGATAAACATTTTAGAAACTTCTATAATATAAATATAATTTTTCGCGCATATTGAATTGTAGGAACATTCGGCAATTAAAAAAAAATATATATATATCCTAATTGACTATTTCTAAGTCTCTTTTTTTTAGGATATATATAAATACAGATCAATTTTCCTAAAAACAATAGAGAACAATAAAGTAAGCTTCGTAAGCTTTGTTTCACATTAAGCTTGGGGCATGCGTCCATTCTGGTGTATAATGAATTCTATCAAAATAATATGGTAAATGTTTACGCCATTTTTAAGTGATGCAATTAAAGGAATATATATTTCAACCATCAATTTTTAAACTTTTAATTTTCAGGATCTAAACGAACACAAATTAATTTCTCTAGGAGCAATAAAGTAAATTGTACAATTAATCTCCGTGTTAAAAGTACTCACCTGTCATAAAATCCTTCTGCGCAAATGCAGCCTATATCGCAAGCATTTGCATCCTCATCCTTCAACGATTCACCAATGCTATATTCATTGCCATTTACATAACATTTGTCCCGAGACAAATTTTTTAAATGGCTACAATCAAATGATTCAGGACAGCAATCATTGGTATTATTATACACTGGTTTACAGTCGAGGCCTTTATAGTATGCCAGAGGACCTGGACACTTCGATTTGTCACAGATCTCTTTGTACATAAAATAAACAAAATCAATGAATAAAGTTGAAATTAGCAATGTGCAGCATCGTTTAAATGTGTAACATCACAAATTAAACCAAAACAATAAAACTAGATAAAATCAGAACATTTAATGCAGATATACTTGAGACTATTACATGGGGTTGTTTTATTTTTCTTTTGGTGATGTAATTTATCTTTTACGTAAGTACGGTTCCATTATCCAAAATTAAACATTTAAAACCGGAAAGAGGTAGTATACAACGCAGCGTATAAGAAAATAATTCCAAACGGGAAAATAATGTGATGCGCGAAAGAGTTTACAGTATACGAATTAAAGAAAAAGTAATAAAACACTTCTGCTATTTAGAATGAAGACCAAACAGAGTGACGTAATAGAAATAAATTTCAGAAAAACATTCTAAAGATAAAAAGTTATGCAGTTGAAGTAGTACAAGTCAACCTACAATCTTTAATGTAACAACAACCCACAGTAGTCAATTAAAGAGAAATGGTTAGCGTTTTTAAATCTGGTAGATCTGCACGTATGCAATTATAAAATAAGTGTTTGCGATATTGAAATCATCAACATCAGAGCGTCGTATTCTGGACAGTGTGTTATGACACACAAAAGTTATTACTCCGAAATATTGTTACACTATTATTAAATAATTTTTAAATTATTCAATTATTATTATCAAATTATTCTATAAATAACATATAGCACTAATAGGTTATAGATTTTACGTGCGCGATGAAATGAAATTATTAATTATATTTAACAAGATTTCTGTTTTTCTTTAAATGTTGAAGAATCTGTACCACGGTTAAAAAATTTTTCATTTAATTTATTACAATGCTTGCAAACCAGTTCACGAAATTTCATGTTTACGTAAAGACTCACAGTTTGATCATTAAATCACGAACAATTAGAATAACTCTAAACAGCACCGTGTTTCGTTCGTATAACCGAACGAAGCTCCTTTCAAATAATACAATTGACACTAATCATCAACGGATCACTTCTACTCAGTTACTAGTCACAGTTTCCATTTACCGAACAATTTCTCACCTTCTGCCGCGCTGAAAGTGATAAGAAGCGTCGCGAAGACAAAGTTCGGCAAAGACCAACAGAAATAACGGTGCATGTTCATCATTGGAGAGAAGATCGCGGACAACTCGTTTCTCTCATGAACGAGTTGTATCTTTTATAGCTTGAATCCTGCACACTGTTCGTGAGAGGCGCAGCAAGGTAGGGATAACATATGTCAAGGATTATTATTGTATTTCACGAGATATCACCTATCCTTCTAACCATGTTAAAATTGCAGTAATGATAAAAAGTACTTTAATAATATACTATTTTGTGCATTTTGAGTTCATACTGCTATTAAATTGTAAAATTACATTTCAAATTATTTTTTCAATTCGATAAATAAAACATAATCAATATATCTAGACGTTCAGTGCATTATAATACGATTACTGCTATTTTTTAAACATTTATCACACATGATATAGAGTAATTTCGGAGGAGGTGGCCGTACGGGAGAGAAATGTTTTTCATTTATAATTTTAATTCTCGTGAATTATTGTCTAAAAAAGAAATTCAATTTTATTTCGATGTGAAATCTGATGTTCCAATTCCTTCAATTTCACTGATATGCGAAAAATTGGCTCAAGTAAAAAAAAAATCATTTTTAACAGCATTTCGAAATTATTGAAGCATATTTTATATAATCAATGTGAATGAAACACGTGCGACGGAAATAGAATATATTCTTTGGAAAATGCGTTTCTCCAAGGTTATTCACAAACGTTGCCATCTTCATGACTACCGTGAATTGATTTCATCTCCTACGAAGACGATTACATTAATTGCTCACCTTTAATCACAGTTTTTCACAGATAAATCACACGTAATTGGTACCCCGCGGAAGAAATATTAAATTCTTCTTCAAATTTGATCATTGAAGGATTATTAGTGGTATAAATATACTGAGCAGTATCAGTTTGTACCAGGGTTTTCGTGTCGTACGAAATACGTCACTTTGTCTTATTATAAAAGAAAGAGATTAAATCATTCGAACACCATTTTCAATGTAAGTCTGTTGTTACTGCTTTGTAAAATTGCTCAACAGAAATTTCGTCTGCTCCATCGCAGTATTTCCCCTCCCTCCTATTATTCACGACTTCATATGTTTAACTAAGTTTTCATAAATATTTAAGTTGAATCGTTACACTTCAAGTGCACTATATGTGACTGTACGATATTAATTCCTTGCCCTATAATTTATTTCACAAGCATGTTTGGTAAATGTACTTACTTTAACGTTAATAATTTATTAGAAAAAAAATTTGGTGCTTTTTCTATTACAAGGAACATATTCACAAGCAATGTATAATTTATATTAAAAAAAGAAAGACCAGTTAACTTGGTGATTACTGGTAATAAATGTACAATGACAATTGTGTACAGTAAGACATCGATTAACCAAGTCGCTATCTCCGCGTCCTAAGTAATTCCGAACCTGGTCAAACTGGAAGTCAATAATTCAAACGCTTGTAACTAACAATAGGAACTTAAAATATATACGATCGAATTTTACAAATATCTATATTTGGAAGAGTTAGCTGCTAAATTAACATACACGCGACATACACGGTAAAGTCAAAAAGATCAATATTAAACCTTATTAACTTTTTTAAATTCTGGACTTTGGATTTTCTGTACAAACAGAAAGCTTATATTATCATAGGCTGAATGGCATCAGCTTCACGTTCATTAGAACATAGAAACAAGACTAATACTCGGTTTAACGGAGGTACTGTGGAAGTCCCACGTTAGCGAAGCCGACCTTTGGTTCAAAAGTGAAGAGAGGCAAGGGAACTCTACCACTCGCAATGCTCGGGCCTCGGCGTGCGCCGATAACCATGGGCCCGAAAGCAATAATAACCATGTGTTAGAAAGACTAGCGTCGTGAGTGGAAGAGTCCCCTTGCCCTTCTTCACTTTTGTACCAAAGATCGGCTTAGCTGATGTGACACCTCCGCAGTATGTATGTTGTCTACGGAAATCGTAGAAAACTATGGAATTTGTGCAGTATATAGGAATATTTTTAAAAATATTTACTAAATTACTTTTCTTATATAAATAACATAGGAAACAGTATGTTATAGTTATATGATGCTAGTAGCGATCGTATTAGAGAAAGATTTCGCTACAACGTTGAACGTACAGAAACAAATTTGTCGACATCTCTCAACCACTTATTAAAGAGTTCCGGTTTAAAATTGTCACGTGATAAGCCAATTGTCTGAACTAAATGCGAATAAAGTGAAAATGACTTCAACAACAACGCTATATATTACTACATACATCGATCTGATTTAATAGACAATTGGTGTTTTGATGGAGAAACAAGAATATCTTAATTAAAATCTGAAATAATGGACTAGATATGTATATATGATGTATTCAACACTGATCCATAAAATTTATCAAGCCACAAGATTATACAAAAAACGTTGTTAGTAGTTAATCAGGATGATAATTATCCCTCACGAGTCCCAATCTTTGTAAGATACGTTTCCGAACGCGTTTCGACTGTAGGATTCTTTCGGAACGGGGAGATTGGTTCACTAATAACGCTTTCTCTGTGATATAATATTAAATGTATTTGTACTGATATCTAAACGCTCGCTGGCTGATCACGCCAAAGTATCACACACAAGTCTCGCCCCGAAATGTCTCACCTAAAATGTCTCTCACCGAATATATCGCACCAAATGTCTCTCGCCCACGCATTCCCACTCGCTTTTAATGCACAACCCCATTCACTCTGTCTTTCTTACATTTTCACCCTTCTCACTTGCATCTTTCGTCCATAGCCAAAATTCACGCAGTCACGTACGCACTTTTCTCACGGTCCAGCCGCTCGGTTCCAACACTCTTCCTCGCATTCTTTCAGTCACTCAAGATTTTCCAAACGCAGTCACACTATTTCCCAAACATAGCGGCGCCGGTCCGTCGCAATATGACCTGGTCGCCCACACGCGCGCACAACGAATGATTCATCTCATATACATAATGACAAAAATTGCAAAAAAAAGAGAACTTATTGAAGAATTTTCTTGCGGACAAAATTTTTTTTGTAGTTAATTGTATTTTCTTAATGAATTCCACTCTGGTTTTAAGAAGATATCAATAAATAATATTCAACCGTTTTTAGTTGCAGTAATGCCAGTCGGAAACAATACTTTTCCCGAGAGTCGGTTTCTGTACCAATAAAAATGTTAGATTCGATACTAGTAGCGAAGGTGGCAGAACCTAAGAGCTAGGATGTTCCACGATACATAAACCTGCGATTGTGACCTGCTGGAAAATATAACTCGAAATGGAATACGTCGCATGAACAAGGGCGCAGTGCTTGCATGCTATCGATAAAGATGGCTTGCAATTGCGCTAGACATGGCTCGATCCTAACGACTCTAGTAACTTTACATATCCGCGCATACGCTGCACAGCGGAAAGTTATTGAAATGTACAAAACATATGGGTTCGTTATACGTAACATGGTTAGTATTGTTATTGTTATACGTAGTAAAGTAACAGATATTCTGAAGCTTCATATGATCAACTATATAAATAGTATATATTAAAATAATATATAATAAGTATGGTAAATATTAACACTAAAACTACCAGACAGGTCAAAATGACTCATTCCTGATTTCTCCGTTTTGCAATTATTTAAAGGATAACATGATTCTCTGAGAAGTTACCAAAGTAGTTGATTCCGTAATACGCAAACGCGAACGTAAACTAATAGAAATCCCAACAGATTCACTCTTGAAGTTTCTGTAGAAAAATATCGAAAAGTCACTTTAACTGTTTGGTAGTTGTAATATTAAGTAATGAATAGTAAATAGTGATTAGAGGATAGTAAATAATAAATTGCAAACAGTAAATAGCAAGTGGCAAGTGGCAAGTGGCAAGTGGCAAGTGGCAAGTGGCAAGTGGCAAGTGGCAAGTGGCAAGTGGCAAGTG